AAACACATGGAAATTGAATAACACTCTCCTGAACAACCAATGGGTCACAGAGGAAATTAAAGAAGAAATTAGACAGTTTCTGCAAGTAAATGATATTGCCAGTGCAACATACAGGAATCTATGGGACACAATGAAAGCAGTTCTATGAGGAAAATTAATAGCAGTAAATACCCATACTAGGAAAACAGGGAGAGCTCAAATAAACAACCTAATGCTCAATCTCAAGCTCCTAGAAAAAGAAGAGCAAGACAAACCCAAAGCTCATACAAGGGAGGAAATTATAAAGATCAGAGCAGAAATCAATGCAATGGAAACTAAGGGAATGATACAAAAAAAATCAACGAATTGAAGAGTTAATTTTTCAAAAGAAAAACTAAAATTGATAAACCCTTAGCCAACCTTACCATAAAAAGGAAAGAAAAAGTTGAAATCCATGCAATTAGGAACAAAAAAGGAAAAATTGCAACTGATCCAGCAGAAATCCAGATGATCCAGAGGATCATCAATACCTACTTGGAGAATCTGTACTCTAATAAAATGGAAAACACAGAAGAAATGGACAGATTCCTAGATACATATAAATTACCAAAGTTAAATGAAGAAGACACAGAAATTCTAAACATCCCAATTACAATCAGTGAAATTGAAAACATAATTAAAAATTTACCAACAAAGAAAAGCCCAGGTCCTGATGGCTTCATTGATGAATTCCACAAGACATTTAGGGAAAAACTATTGCCACTACTCTTTAAACTCTTCAATGAAAATGAAAGGGAAGCAATACTTCCAAATTCATTCCTGGAAGCAAGTGTTACTTTGATTCCAAAACCAGAGAAAGACCCAACCTAAAAAGAGAACTACAGGCCAATCTCCCCTAATGAACATAGATGCAAAAATCCTCAACAAGATACTGGCAAACAGAATACAGAGGGTCATCAAGAAAATCATATACTCTGACCAAGTCAGATTTATCCCAGGGATGCAAGATGGTTCAATATTTGTAAATCAATAAATGTAATACACTACATTAACAGAGCCAAGGACAAAAACCACACGATCATCTCAGTAGATGCAGAAAAGGCATTTAACAAAATCCAACACCAATTCATGATAAAAACCCTACAGAAAATTGGAATAGATGGTCTTTATCTCAATCTGATAAAAGCCATCTATGACAAACTAACAGCCAACATTATACTAAATGGTCAAATACTGAAAGATTTCAGTCAAAATTAGGAAAGAGACAAGGAGTTCACTATCATCACTCTTATTCAATATAGTTCCAGAAACATTAGCGAGAGCAATTATACAAGAGAAAGAAATAAAAGGAGTAAGGATAGGAAAGGAAGAAGTTATCATTATTTGTGGATGACATGATACTCTACACAGAAGACTGCAAAAACTCCACCAAAAGACTTCTAGATTTAATAAGCAAATTGAGTAGTGTAGCTGAATACAAAGTTGACACCCAAAATTAGCAGCATTCCTATACACAAATAACAAACTCACTGAAACAGAAATTAGGGAAATCATGCCTTTCATAATAACACCCCCCAAAATGAAATACTTAGGAATCTGTCTAACAAAGGAAGTAAAAGACCTTTTCATTGAAAACTACAGAACTCTGAAAAAGGAGATAGAAGAGGATATCAGAAAAATGGAAATATATCCCTTGTTCTTGGGTAGGAAGAACCAATATAGTGAAAATGCCATACCCCCAAAATTACTATACAGATTTAATGCAATCTCAATCAAAATACCAATAGTATATCTCAAAGAATTAGAGAAAATAATCCTAAAATTTATTTGGAACCAGAAGAGACCTAGAATAGCAAAAGCAATTCTGGGCAACA